ACATACACAAATGACACGACGACGCTCCACATCGCCGTCTACAAGTGCCATGGGATCCCATTGAGACGCCACAATACTCGCGAGACATTGAGCCACATCTTCCTTTAAGAAGGGGTACGTCTCCCAGCCCAGCGAGCGAAAATAAAGCGTGTAAACGTCCGTATCTTCTCCTCGCGCTTCAGGTGTGCTGCTGTCCTTCGTCAACGCCGTGGAAGAGATGAACCGGAAAGAATCGTTCAGCGACTCAGGACCGGAAGTTTCTTCTTTGCTCAGATTCATGCATATACGAATAACATCGCTAACAGGCGTCTCGCTCAAGGGGTTTTCATTCACCGTGCGTTTCTGGAGTGCTGGCTTCACTACGGGTTTCTTGGCCGCTGGACCCTCCTTAGGTTTCTTGCCTTTCGGATGCGGACTTTCAGACACGAACCAAGGAAACAGCTTCTTTGATGCTGCTTGGGAGAAACCATCGTCTTTTGGGAAACGGCTTTTCACTTGGATGAGCATGAATGACACTCGCTCCTTCTCGCCATCTTTGTTCCAAAATACTGGGATCATCAGATCTGCTCCAAGCTGGTTGCGCGGGAAAATACCCGCAGCCCGACGTCCCAGCAAATACCACAGCGTATCTTCATTCGGATCAGCTTGCAGCTGTATGAAGTGAGTGAACCCCATGCGCCAGTCCTTCCACTCTGACTTCCACTCGTTAAACGTTTCTATGTTTCCAGGGAGCATTCCCTCGATATAAACTTCAATTTCATCGCACCCCATCACGTTCAAAAACGACTCCACTGACACAAATTGGCCATGTGACTTGCTTCGATCCCCCATCACACACTGGTCCATCGCGAGAAGGAGCACAATGCGAGCGACCATTTTACAAATCCCACCTGTCCCCAGTGCTTCGTCCAGGATCAACTTCTTCAGCTGCGGAAGAATATACTTGGACAAGCCGTCCTCCAGGAAATACCACACTTCAATCGCACCCAACGCAAGCACCGGATCCGACGCGTAGCTACTCAAGTAGCCCTCTCTCTCGAATTTCACGTAGGCGAGGACAGCCATGAAATCCGCGACTACATGCGACGCCAACGTCTACGTTGAGTACGGACGTACACCCAGTCGACAGAGCATCGACGCAACACCAAACATGGTCTTCTCGCTGTATGAGGCTTCTTGTTTAAAATCGTTTCCCAGTGTCCTACACCACCTCTAGGGTCGGGTAGTCCGCGGCTGTTTAGGGAGTACGGTCTCGAGTAGTGGCAGGAACGGTAGCACAAGATAACTTAATACACCAAAAGCTTCTTGTTTGTTTCTCTCACTCAGCTTAGGCAAGAGGTAGTAAATGTAAGACTGAGACTAATGAACGAGGGCCTACCGCCAACTCGCTTTCCTATACACGACACCGCTTAAGTATATCTTGATCCAAAAGAGTCCTTCTCCATGACATCCGTCCTCGTACGGCGACAGGAAGGTCCGAGACGCGGTCCTCCTTGCGCATCCGGCCTTGTCCCCCGCCACGTAAGACGATAGGAGGGAACTCGCACACCGTTCCAGTACTCCACCGTAGCGTTCCAATACAATCACACCATAACTTCACCAGTCTCTTGTGTGAAGTGAGTGGGAGCTTGCGGGGTCAACGGGAACCAGCCTCCCGCCGTCGCAGCACGCTGACCTTCGCCGAGGTCCCTTGTCACAAAAGCCGGCCCGCCAGCGCCTGGCACGACGCCTACATTCCCGGGTACGGGACATACTCCCCGACTTGGAGTTTGCCGTCCTCGGCGAACGGATGGCCAACGCTGGCGGCGCAGGCGAGCCATTGTTTCGGGCGCACCCGAAAGGTCAATAGGACGTTCCGTGGATTGCTCGGTTCCATAGGAGTTACCCAGGAATGCTTCCGTAGTAGGGGCCTCTTCTTCCGCCGCTTGAAAGTCGCGTAACCCTTCGAAACCATCCTTGTATCGCAAGCGTTCCAAGCAAAGCGCCTCGGCACGCCTACGCTTCGAAGCGTTCAGTTGGGTGTTAGCCAAAGCTTGACGGACCACACTCTGGGGAGCCATCGAAAGCAGCGGGTTATCCTCTTCACACAGACGCAGGGCGTGCGAAATCACACCGGTCACTGCGACGAAGAGAGGCCCCAGCAGGTCCCAGCGAGTCCATTCGTAACAGTAGTCGTACGTCACTAGCAGCATAAGTCCGATGGCGACACCGATAGGTCCTTGTAGGACGAACTCCACTAGGTCGTAGAGGTTAATAGGTACGAACAGCAACAACGACAGGCACAGCAACGCGACCCAGCAGACGAACTCGCCAACGCCATAACAACGAAGTAGAGTAGCCCGGCTGGCTTCCCATGAAGCGTTCCAGTAACGCTTCGCGGAGTCCTTGGTGTCCACGAGCACGTTAGGTAGGTACTCGGCGAAGGTGACCTTGCATGCCATTCACCAACTGCGGAGCATCCTCCCATAAGCACCGTATCTCGCATCCTCGTCCTGAAGGACCCAGGTAGGTGCGTTAAAGAAAACGCTCCACGCCGCGAAAGCGTACACTGAACCGCGTAGCTGGCGGAATTCACGGTCTTGCAGAGTGTGTCGGTAAGAAGAGGCACACTCTCCACAGATTTCGAGGTTCATGGATAGAACGCGCCAAACCTGCGTCAGGAACACCCACCCGACGCTCCTAATGGGAGTCGTCAACACCCAGGCGACGATCACGCTGGTGTATACTGGCCATAGCTCCCACCGCGCGTATTCCAGGACGAGGCTTGCTTGAACCCCCATTCCTTGTGAAGAACTTTCACAAATGAGAAGAAGACACGTCCGACTCCGCCGTGTACCGTTCCTCCAACTGCGTGGTCATTGCCCATCAATCGTTCACAGTCGACACCTGGGAGAGGGTAGTCGACAACCAACGGCGAGGTTCTCGAGAAACGCCAGAGAGACGGAGGCGGCAACCAGTCTGTCAATTTTTCGCCCCATTCGGCAATTTGCCTCCCCTCGACGCAGACGCCAACACCCGACGACTCGTCTCCCAGCACCAGCACCAGCGGTATGGTCGGCTCCGGCGATAAGGATCGCTACAAGAAACTCCGTGAGGTCGTCGAGGAGGAGTCCTCCGACTCGTCCGAAGGAACGCCTCGACCGCAGGACTCCGCCGCCGATGTCTGCTTCTGGCTGGCGATGCGCGACGTGCTCGCCATCAACGAAGGAACTGTGGGGATGGGGATACTGGACGAGATAGCGGCGGCCATCATCCAGGGCAGCGGTAAGGCCAGCGATGCCTTGACTGGTCCAGTTATGATCCTGCCTTCGCCCTCGCGACAGCACGCCCGCGGAAAGCCACCACAGGATCACCGCTTCGCTAGAGTCTCGCTCCCTGCGCCACAGAACGCTAGACCGGGCTCGGGAAAGAAGAAGACGCGGGGCTCTCAAGGTACGTCGTCGCAGGGGCGCAAGGACCGGTCTTCTCCTCCCTTCGACTTGCCATTCGAACTCGCCGACAGGACTCCCCCGCGGGTGCGCCACGATCTCGAGAAGATCTATCAAGAGGCCGAGTCGCTCGGGCCGGAGCCGTTCATGTTGGCTTTCCCGTGGAGAGGGTCCGTCCTCTGGTACAGTCCCTTCGATTTTCCCCTAGTTCACGTAGCGCATTGGCGCTTCTGGAACAGGAACTGCGCCCGCTTCTGGGACTGGCAGCTCAATGCGCCTCTCAAGAACTCCAGCGCGCGCCGTAAGGCTAAGATGTCGGCTCTCGTGGCCCGCGTGCGCTTCCTTAGTATCTGCATTGAACCGTGGGGTTACTACGGCTTTCTGGAACTGTTCGAGAGGTGCACGAGCCGGCGCCGTTTAATGTGGATGGGCGGGCAACCAGGCCGGAACACTCCTGATACCAAGTCGTACCGGGGCCCCGCGATCGACAGTTTGACCCGCCTATATCAGCACGACCAGGAAGGTTACGTTCGACGCATCCGGGGCGCTCTGAAGCTTTTCAGCATCGACGAGGGCGGCTTTGCTACGATGACGGGAGCTCCTATTCCACACCGGCGCCCTGGATCCGAACAGCGCGAAGGCAGACAGTCAGCTCTCGGGTCGCGCCTTGCCTCGGGTACTTCACGACGTCAAGTCCAAGACCAAGCACGCTTCTCATTGGGTTGGGAGATCTCTCGGACGGAGTGTGGCACGCTCTTACTCACTGCCCACGCCTCA